CCTACTGCTAGCTGTTTGCACCTGTAAAAGCTCTCTCTGATGTGGTATTTTTTTATTCATTGACCGTTATTTGTATTCCAGAAGCCAGTCAAATGTTTATATTTGACTTATTCTGCAGGTATCAGGATAAATGAAATGAGCTTAAGAACCAAGTAACCCCTCCTGATTGGTGACTAGTTGAATGAAAGTCAAAATATTCAGCTCTTGAAGCAACTATAGATAACATTATTAAAATCATAGAACTTGAGATGAGACAAGAGGTAGGCAAATTCAGGAGGGCCACCTTACGCTGGATCCTCAGAAATTCCTTTTTCTACACACCCAGAAATCTTTCTTTCCCATTCTGACACAAATTCTTTCTTACCTGAGTTTATTGTTGAGTTTTTTGAACTTGACTGCCACTTTGAATTACTCTTTCAATCTGATAACATGCCTGTCTAGTTTCCAATGAGTGCAGTCCTATTTTTATTTTAATATTAAAGAAAAAATATCAATTCCCACCCAAACAAACAAAGAAAGAAACCCCAAAACCCAGAAACATTGCTTGTGCCTCTTTTACAATGAAATACTTGGTGATTCTGATCTAAAGTTAAGCAAAAAGAAGCCAAAAATACACACCAAGAAATAGAAGCAGAAAAACTGTTTAAGCATCAGTGAAGGAGCAGTATTTCAGATGGTGCTTTGCAGTATCTTGCTTTCAGACAGACATGGTATTGTGATGCTTCTGTGAATACAGCAATTTGTCATTTTCTCAGTTTGTCACTTTTTCATTGCGCATTGAGATTTTTAATTTGAAACATTTCTATGAAGCAGAAGACATATTGGAAAATATATGGAGAATGTACTTTTTGAGTAAATACTTAATTGAATTGATATAATCAATTTTGTTTTCAGGGGGTAGCTAATTTCCCTGTACTTTCCTTTTTAAAAACTTAACCAAGAAGCTTTAAAAGTACTTGCAAGAGTTTCTATAATGTTTTGAGTTTAAATCAGTTGAAACAAAATGATAGATTTAAATGATGAGAGTGTTTTAGTGTAAAGTGTTTCATTATGAAATGGCACAGGCTAAGAACTTGTCAAGTTACTGAAAATATGATGGATTATGTAGGGAAGTCTCAAGTTTTAAAGTTTTGGGTTGGCAGCTTATGCACATGTGGGAATTGTAAGGAATTCTTTCTTTACTTTGTGGGTTCAGTATGCATGGTAACTTTTGTTTGTGTATTGTTAGTTAACAGCAGAGTGTTTAGGCAGAAAATCCAAATCACTTCCTCTAGATGGAAATACTGGTAACTCCATGATTTTTCCAGATTAAAACCCAGCAGTTCATCAGTTATGTTTTTCATTTTAAGATGCATCCTGTGTAAAATCTCTAATTAAATTGTGCATTTCATGCAGTGTTTGATGTTCTCTTGAGTCTGAAAAGGACCAGGCAAGCTGACTACTCATCTTTTTGGCAGTATGATAGGGAAGAAAAAGAGCTGTAATTGCTAGCACAGTATGTAACTACCTAGCTTGTCTCTGGTAGCTGCCTGTGAGGTTTTATGCTGTCTTAAAGGGCCTCTTAAAACGTTCCTCACCTATAACTCATCTTGGTGCCAATATACCTGAATAGGTAATTTAAACCTATTTTTTTTCTCACTGTAGTGTAATTTTCTTTTCATTAATGTTAGTGTTTAAGCTTTCATTAAAAAGAGTAAAGTATCCATTTGTTTCACAAAGCACAGGATTTGTGGTGCTATATAGTAGTATAGGAGAATGGGAAATTTCAGTTGCAATAAGTAAGTCCAGCTTTCTAGAAAATGTGATAACTTATAGTTAAATATTTGCTTTCATAAAAATTTGATGCACAATTGTGGACAGGATCAGTGCAAAATGCACTTCAAATTTTGGGTCAGGTGATCGTCTTCATACACTTAAATACATGAAGGCATTTCCTATGTAGCTCTGTCATCAGAAGTTACTGCCTTACTCTCACCTGTTGTATCTTCCACATGCATCCAGCATCTTTTGAACAGCTCACAGCTATATCTGGGCTAGTTTGTAAAATAAAATAACTTTTAAAGCGATATATTGTCAGAGCTGTGAAGATCTTAGTAGGAAAATTTATGGTTACTGTATAAATACATCTGTTGGGCCTGATGCAGATTATTTAAAAGCATTGTCAGTTAACAGTTATGCGGTGATGTCTTTGTGGGTTAAATTACAGATAGTACTGGTTTGCATGATTAATTAAGCAACTATTGTACAAAACACAACATTAAGCAGTTACTCATGTTGGCTATTCCTCTGTGTGTTGTAGCAAATACTAGAGTAGAAAGCTGTAGTCAAGTTGGGCTTCTATTACTAGCTGTCACACTTCAAAAGGGGTGATGATAACGTTTTTATAAAATTATTTATGCTTCTACATGACTAAGATACTTTGAAAAGTTATCCTGTACACATTCTAGATTGTTGGATGGGCCTTTTTTTTGACTATTCTAATGCATAAAGCAGCTGCTCTATGGGAGGGAAGAACTGTAAGCACGTTGGGGTAATACTCTGCCTGTAGGACTGTATTTGTGAATTAGTCTTTGTATAAACAACATGCAGTTACTTTTATCATTTTCACGTTGATGGACACCAGTGATTTTTATTTACATTACCACATCCGTTTTGCTCAACACTTAAATTATAAAATTGAGTTCATTTTCTATAACGTTTCATGGTAGAAGCTGAGAATACTGCTTTGCAGCAGGCGGCAACTACGTGGGAGATTTTAGAAAATACATTTTTTGGCTTTTCCCTGTTGGCATTAAGTTATGATAACTAGGAAGAAAATTGATTGTAATGTATTAATAAATAATAAGCAAATGCACTATGCACTTGGGAAATGCTTATCTTAAAAGTCTATTGGTAATAACCACTTTTGCCTACATCCTTCCGGTGTTTGTTTCTGCTTCCGCTACTTTAGATAGTAAGCACTTGGAAGCTGTGATTAGACTTCTGTGAATAATTGATTTTTTTAAAAAAATAAACTTGATATAAAATTATTTTGGCTAAAACAATGTTATAGAAGTTTTGTTGTGGTGTCGTTTTGGGTTTTTTTTCTTTTCATGTTTTGGAGGTACACTTCTTCAACATAATATACCAGAGTTCACTTCTCAAGTGTGGATTTGTCTGAGGTGGATCCTCCTGGCTGTGTGCCTCCCATCATTTTTCAAAGGTTCAGACATTTCATTAGCGCTGTTTGTATCGACATTCTGCTACCCTGAGGACATGGAGAATTGACTACAGCAGCTAGTCAGCTCTTTCTGGTCATTTTTTATAAAAAAAAATGGAAAAAGACTATTTTTCCAATTGTGGAGACTGTTGGCATGAAGTAACAAGTAGCTATGTGAACAGTTCTGCCCTGTATTGCCCTGGAATTGCTCTGAGGTAGCATCACCGGTTTTACAAAAAGACTACTTGCTCTGCTGTTTCAGAGAGGTGACTGACACTTAAGTTGCCAGGGTTAATCTACTGCTTGTGGCTTTTCATGTTGGTATGTTACAGAGACCACACCATAACTTCCTTTCAAAATTAATTTTCAACTTTGAATGTTTTTGTTATACTTGGCTGGATTTTGTTGTTGTTGCTGTTGGTTGGTTGGTTTTTTTTGTTTGTTTGGGTTTTTTTAATTTTTTTTTTTCATTTTTTATCATTAGATTGGTTTAGTTTTGTTTTTAAAAAAAAAAACACCACCAAGAGATAAAATATTTCTTGATGTTGAGTTGTGTCTTTTTTTGTTTCTATTTCTCAATTACCATAGTAGGACAGGAACCAGTTTCTGAGTGTTTGAAAACTAAATTTTGAATGGCCAGTGGCTTGTATGCTTTTTCCAGTTAAGATAGTATGGGATGGAAGTGTAATTTACTGGAGCTCAGTCACCCATAATGCAGGCCACGTCACCTGCTTTCTGGGGCTAGCTGCTAGCAGAAATTTGTCACCAACAATTTAGAGCTTAATTAAAATCTTTGGCTTGGTTGAATATGAGAATATGAATATTCTGTTTTCTGGCTCAGGTGCCTGGTTTGAGGGGAGAATTCAGGTGGTGAGGAAGAAATCTTGTTCTCTCTTTTGGTATCAGATGCTTGCTGACCCTGGGGTTGCTTATACAGATACTCAAAGAAAGGGATTATCTTAACATAACCACAGTTCTTAAGTAAGTGTGTCTGTAGATCCCATAAGCTAATCTGCTCCTTCTGCAGCATTGGGAGTTTTATTGCCTGTGGTGTGAACAGTCACTGGCAGCAGTTACTGCCAGCTGATTTGCCTGTTATATCTCCAAATGAAATTATGATGGTTTGCAAGATCTAACAGGACACATAGTTGAAATAATTCTGAATTCCTGTGCATTTCTGCAGCAGAAGTGGTGCATATATCTTTTTTACACCTGACTAATTCCTTAAATAGGCAGAAAACTCCAGGCTCTCTGTCGAAGCACAGCACTTTTATAACACTGGTATTGTTGGCATTGAAAGTGTTTAATGTGTTTCTAAAAGGAGGAAGATAGACTGTCACAGAAGATATTGGATGTTTGTTACAGTATTGATTTGACTTGGCAAAACATGTAGGCATATGTTGAGCTCCTAAATTTGTGTTCACTTCTTGTCTTACTTAAAACATTTCAATATATTCATTATTTGTTCAGACAAATGCTATTCCCATAACAGAAGGGTGAGGGGTTTTTAAATTTAAAAAAATAATAATAATTCAACACTTTTCTATCCATAACACTGTTTATAAATTATATTCACAATTTTCTGGAGTCTCAAATTAATTTCAATTTTTAATGAACAAAAACTCCCCTGCATTTTATGATATGAATGGAATTCAAAGGGGAAAGGAAAGAAAAGGAACTGCCAGAGATTTCTTCTGTTGCAGCCTCTTGTTCTGTCCTATCTTCTTGCCTGCCTCAAACAGAGATATTATATATTTGCATGGTCCTTCAATTGTTTTTGCTAATTTTGTTATTAAAACAGGCAACAACAGAGAGACCTTTTATACAGAAGCTATTTCGACCAATTGCTTCAGGAGGACAGTTGCATACTTTGGGAGATCTGATAAAAGATGTGTGTCCTAGTGCTATCGCCCCTGAAGGTACTGTACAAATAACTTTTGTCCAAAAAGATAATTTTTCTGTTGATTTATTGTTTGTGTTTTTGTTTTGTTTTGTTTTGTTTTGTTTTGTTTTGTTTTGTTTTTAAATATGAGTATTTTAGAAGTAGAACCGTATCTCAGTACCAGAGTTTCAGATTTCACTCCTTCCTGGCCTGTTAGTGTGCCCATTATACACCACCCAGAGTGTTCTGCGAGTACAAGACAGGGTCCTTGGACACTCCTGAAAAATTAATCCCTGAAAGTTTCATTTTAAAGTTCACATACTCCTTTGCCACCACACTATTCTTAATAAGAATATCTACATGTTATTTTCTGCATTTAAAAAAAAGTTGTTAAAGCAACATCAACAGAAGCTTTGTTACATTTCACTTTATATTGCATAAACTTTTCATATGTAAAACTCCAAAACTAATAGAAATGAAAGATATTTTCAGAAGATTTTTCTGCCTGTTGAAGCCCAACCTTTAAAAATGTACCAGAAAAGAAAGATTGTTATAAGTATATAATAGCTTATGTATGGTTACTAAGTAGTATTGTGTGACAAGATACAAATTAGTTCATGTAGCATTATATCATCTCATACAGTAGCATTTATTAATTAGCACTTATTCAGAAAAATAAGCATTTCTGGATTTTATTTCAACCTCCAAGGTTACAACTATTGGAACTCAAATACACATTTTAGTGATAAAAATGTGGAAATTATGTAGTCTGCAAATGAACATTAAAAAATCTTTTCATGTGAAATGTTTTTTTATCTTGTTCTTGTTTTCTTGCCAGTACCTACAAATGAGTAACTTTTTTTTTTTGTCAATAAATCAGTTTGTTTTGATAAATGTCTAATATTCTAGAGAAGATCTTGGCACAGAATTTACTGGAATAGTATCGTCACTTTTTGACTGTAAAACACTATGTTGGAAACGAGCGTAAAAAACTGTAAGATGCTGTTGTATGTAGAAGTTGTGTAATTCAAAATCAAAGGGTTGTCATGGATTTCTTTAAGTATGGTGATCTTAAAAATTGACTGAATTCTCAAAGTATCTTTTTAACTCACATTTAATACTTGTTGACACATGGAAACAATATCAAAAAATAACAAAAGGTAAGAAAAATAAAAAATGTTGCTAGCCATTTATCCATTTTTCCTAAAGGTACTATAAATTTTAGAGCATAATTTGAGGTAATGCTTTCAACTAACTGTACAAAAAATAAAGCAAGCTATTAATAGATACTTGAGTGTTAGCACAGGAAAGTTTAAGTACTTTAGCGTGAGGATTGTACAAACACTATTGAAAAGATAAAAAGTTAATTTAAGAAAAATGTAAGAAGGATGGTACATTTTCAGTTGAAAGGCAGTCAAAAGCGCAAATTAAGTGAAAGAAACTCAAAAAGCATTTGTGCAAAAGTTATTCCAGGATATAATGGGTGATAATTTTGATGTGGATTTGCTAAACCTGCAGATGGGGAATGTGCTAGTTACTACCTTAATTAAAAGCATTGTTGTAATGTAATTTTATCTGAGTACCAGTGAGTTGATGCTTCCCATTAGTAGGCCTTCTTTTCACATGTCAGCTAATGCCCCAGCCTTTATAAAGCAGAATGGATGTGCACTATGTTAATTGCTTGCTTAATTTTTTTTTTTCCCCCATATTCTTCACTCAATAGGAGCAAAAAAATGGTGGTTGCTTGGAGGAAAAGAAACAAAAATAAGTGCTATCCTAACGCTTAGGAGGAGCCATTTGAAATTTGGCAAAAGGGTTTCCTTGTATTGGAATATGCTTGTCTGTTCCTGTATAAATCTGCTTGAGTTTGGTGTAGTTTGGATTGTTAAGATTCTACCGAGCAACTTGCAAACTGAGAATTTAATAAATTGGATCCCTCATATGGGTGTGAGCTATCTAGGTTTCAGCAGAATTCCTCCCATAATGCCACCCTATATTGTTGCATTGTTCAGTTGTTCCTTTTATATTCTGAGTGTTCTTCTCTTCTGCTGAGTAACAGAAGGAAAGCTATCTGTGCTAAATGCACAAGATGATGTGAACTCAAGGAGATACAGGGCTAGACTGATACACAGAGGCAGGAGAGGTGGGGCAGACTGACTGAACAAATAATTTGGAAGAAAATGACAGATCTGGGACTCATTAAATGTGATAGGGAGAGCGACTATAAACAATGTGGCAGGATGAATGAGATTGGGGCAAAAGCCAAAAACTGACATAACTAAACACCTGGATATGGAGTAAGTGGGATAGGAGTTTATAAAAGGATGGGAGAAAAAGGGGCATGTTGCATGTGGATCATACACTAAGATTGTGCAGGGAATCTGTGACAGATTAGGAGTGCAAGTCCTGCTGGCGAGGTGATCTGGATGGTCTGAAACCCCATTTGGAGAAACAAAATTGAATCAAAAGTTGAAAAGAAGTGGTGTTTGGACTGACAGAAGAAGATGCAGGTAGATAGGTGGAAGTAGTCAGGTAGGGACTGGGGAAAAAAATCTTCAGGGTTTACTGTACAAGTAGACTGCACCCCAGATGGGAATGAAAAGTAGAAAATTAAGCATGACAATGTGGAGAGAAAAAAAGACATAGGAGATAGATCAGGAAGGATCAGAACTAGGATGATATGGAGAGATGATAGAGAAGGAATCAGATTTACAGAAAATGACCTAAAAAGATGAATGCCCATGACAGCAGTGATTCATACTGCTGAGGAATGTGCAAGGTAAGGTCAGCTCACTGAAGAGGTGTGAAAGGCAGCACTGTTTTAGGCTTGACTGCTTTAGTTCATCATACTCTGTTCACTGATGATTCAACTTGGCCAATAAGTGAACTTCGATTATTCTCTTGCTTGGCTTAATCCACTCATCTCATTCACTATTCAGATGTAATGTGCACCGTGTTAAGTGTTCACGTTCTAATACAGCTTTGAGGCATTAAAAAATCCCAACTAACTCACCAGACTGCACAGTGCCACTTTTGAGTTTTGCTACAGAAATGGTAGCAACCATAACAGGGAATACTTTCTTTTCCAGCAAGCAGACTAGGCTCCTGAGACTACAGAATCTCCTCACTTCTGTGCTGGTGGAGCCTTCATGAAACCCCTCAGTCAACTGATTTTCTCTCTGATGCTGGCTTACTGAGACTTTAACAAGCTTCCTCTGTCAGTGGATGCTCCATCAGTTCAAAATAAAGGGGAGACCACAAAGCCGAGTGTTTCTATCAATTTTGTGGGCATATGAGAATTTAACCTCCCACTTCAGTGAATTAATGAATCAGTAACATTTACTGCATCACTTTGTCAGGGCAACACAATCAATACGAGCTTCTCTTTCTCTCTGTTTTTCTCCATCTGTTCAACTTTTTTCCTTTTTCCTCTATGGTTTTCTCTTTTCCAGTGACTATTCATTCAACTGGAAGCTTCATGGTAATTGTGGTGATTGCTTGTCTATGGTGACTTCCGTAACTGAGCTTTGTGCCGTGGGAACACGGAGAATATACGATTTTCAGACTCAGCATTTGTAGCCATATATGTGAGCTGTTCCTGCTGCCAGATACTTAGGGACCACCACAAAAAGAGGGAGGGAAGGGTTTCAAGAACCACCCACAGTGTCTATATGCCTTTGCTTTAGGAAAGATGGATATAATTAAGTCTCTTTTAACTGTGCTGAGAAAAAAATATTTCAATTAAAAAAATACTTATATTGAATATATGTGTTGTTTCCCAACTGTCAAAAACATGATGTAAAGAACATTGTCAGAGTTAGAACAGGTTGAATACTGACATTAAAACACTAAAAATAGTGATAGTAAAAATGGTCCTTGTAAAATATTGTGTCAGTGTTACTTTGGATTGTTACAGATTGTGGGTAAATGTTTAGATATTGCATTTTATTTAAATTAGCTTACAAAACTATTTATTCAAGGCTTTTATTGTTTGTTGTGGAGCTCAAAAAAATAAAACCAGCATTATCCCAACCCATACTTCCCTGTCTCTCCTCAAACTGGTCTTTTATTCAATTATACATATATTATCCTGCTTAGTGAATGTTGTACTGCGCTCACCTTTCTCAGCTGCTAAATAGTTTCATTTCCTTTCAACTGCTCATCAGAGGAAAACTGATTAAAAAAATTTGAAGGCTTTTTGTCATGGGCATTGTTAGCCCAAAGGAAAAAGTGGTTTCTGCTTAGAGTATATCCTCTAACTTTTCAGATTGCAAGGAGTGTTAGCTTGATCTTTTTTTGTCCTTAATCACTCCAGTGGAGTTGTCACAGAGTATAGCAGTTTGGAAACCATTTGTCAAATCACATATCAAACAATTTGTGTTACTAGTAATGATCAGGAAGCGTGATGAAAAGCAGTACTTCGAGTTAGAACAGGCACCAAGAAGCTAGTGTAGGGCTTAAATCTTTTGGCAATTACATTCATTACTTTGACTGTAAAGGATACCCTGTTCCTCTAGAAAAATGAAGAGAATGTTTACCTCTACTAGTAGCAAACATCTTTAAGAATAATACAATATTGAGAGAAGATGCTTTTTTTGTTTTTTTACCTTACAGTACTCCTACTGCAGTACTGTATGGTACTTTCCTCCAGAAGACTAGGTTAGAACTGATCTAATATAACCCTCTTTGATTTTCTGTGTAAATGAGTATTTAGACAGCAAATGTGTTAAATCAGATATTTTTTCTTTAGCAGAGTAGTTTTTCCTTGGTGTCTATTTAGCCACTTTACAGGCTGAGGTTGTGGTTATGTGGCAACAGAAGTAGTAAGATCAAGTCATCACAAAGTGCATAATCTTGCATTTGACATTGATGCATTTAATTTGTTTCAATCTTCTTTTTTCTTTGTTCTGATCCTCTTTTGTTGACATGAAGCTTGGGAAGCAATGAAGTCCTACTTGTCATGTTTAATAAATATTAAAATCAGTATTCTCAAACACATCCAGTAATCACTTCCTCTCTATTGCAACCTACTGTAAC